ATATTTTTTAAACAATGCAATTTACTATTTTGTTGTACCTGTACAAAGGTTGTAAATGTGTCGATTCACTACTTGCAGAGATTTGGGTGTTTTTTGTACAAATTGTATGAACCCCAAACATTCAATCGTCCTAAGCTATTACTTCTTCACAAAATATTCAATCATCAAAGCCAGCGCCAGTAAAAGGACAAAAAAAAATAGGATGCATGATGACACAAAATTGAAATGCAAAAAATAAAAAATACATTTGAGAAATGACAAGAGTCTTGATGCTCCATCTTTGATTTAGCTTTAAAACAAAATGGGTGTTGTTGAGTTTAAGTTTGTAGAGTTGGTGAGAGGTGGAGAGAGTTGGTGGGAGATGAAGATTAGGCTATGGGTATCAATAGGGTGGAGAGAGTTGGTGAAAGGTAGAGATTAAGTATGTAGAATCAGTGGGGGTGGAGAGAAAGAAAATGATTTAAACATTTTGGGGATTATTCAAGGCATTTTTGGCTAAAAAATGCTTTGAATAATCCTTTACAAAAAATTGAATGGAGTTATTCAAGGCATTTTCTGACAAAAAATGCCTTGAATGATCCATTTTGAGAAGGGATTATTCTTATTTTAAATAATACCTTTTAATTATAAAAACACTTGAGTAGCTCAATCGGTTAGAGCATATAACTGTTAACCATAAGGTTGTAGGTTCAATCCCTTCCTCTAATATTTTTTAGGTTTTTCAAGAGATTATTCAATGTATTTTTTGGTAAAAAATATTTTGAATAATCTAAAAAAAATGGAAGGAGATTATTGAAGGCATTTTTGGCAGAAAATGTCTTGAATAATCCCTTTTAGGAAGGGATTATTCTTAGTTTAAATAATATCTTTTAATTATAAAAATACTAAAGTAGCTTAATCGATTAAAGCATAAGCTATTAACCATAAGGTCATAGGTTCGATCCCTCTCTCTAGCTTTTTTGGGTTTTCAAGGATTATTCAATGTGTTTTCTTGCAAAAAATGCCTTGAATAATCCTCTTTATGAGGAGATTATTCTTAGTTTAAATAATACCTTTTATTATAAAAACATTGAAGTAGTTTAATCGGTTAGAGCATATAGCTGTTAACCATAAGATCGTAAGTTTGATCTTTCCCTATAGTGTTTTTCAAGGTTTTCAAGGATTATTTAAGGCATTTTTGGCAGAAAAGCCTTGAATAATCCCTTGTAAGAGAAGATTATTCTTAGTTTAAAATATTGGAGTAACTCATTCGATTAGAGCATACAACTGTTAACTATAAAATTATAGGTTCGATCCTTCTCTCTAGTGTTTTTTAGTTTTTTCAAAATACCTTGAATAATCCCTTTCAATTTTTATGAGAGGATTATCATACAACTGTTAACCATAAAATCGTAGGTTCGATCCTTCTCTCTAGTGTTTTTTAGGTTTTTCAAAATACCTTGAATAATCCCTTTCAATTTTTATAAGGGGATTATTCAATGCGTTTTTGGCTAGAAAATGCCTTGAATAATCTCTTACCAAGCACCCCCTAATTTTTTTCCTAAATAAAAGCCAATAATTTTTTTCTTTTAAGCTTATACTGATGGCTACATTAATAACCATAAGTATATAACATATACTTACTAACAGATAGTCATATACTGTCAAAAAAAGTTTATTTATATCAATGGTTAAATAAGTGTTAGTATAAGTATGGTATATTTTGACAATATTAAAAATCTATCAGTAAAAGTTTCTTTTACTGACGTAATTTGATCATCAATAAAACCAAACATCAGTATATGAAAATTTTTTTGTAGTGTATGAAAGGTAAATCTATGTTTAATTACTTATATTTTTTGGGTGTGGAAAGCTTTAGAGTTAGTGATATTATAGTTATTGTTTATTGGATTGCTTTAAATTATTAAATGAAAGTCCTAATTCAAAGGATAGATCAAAACATAGGTACACATACTTTCTACACCATTCGATTAAAATATTTATTATTGAATTAGTTTATATCTAAATGAGAACTAAGAATTTCAAGGACTAAAAAGCCATAAGCCTGGAATTTCTCTCCTTCCATATGCCCAGTGAGGATGACAAACAAAAGAAAATAAACATGCATCTAAGACAAAACAAAAAGACTACAAGGGCAATGGACTCCCATGTTTACTGTAGACATTTATTTGATTGACATTACTATCATATACTTTTGTCTCCATGTTTACTATGAACATTTATTTGGTTTACATCATAAGGGAGAGATTTTACCAAATGTTATGGGTGAGTTGAGGAAAAAAGTAAATCAAGAAATATCTAGAAGATGAAGAAATTTATCAAAACAGATAAAGACAAGGGTCAACTAAAAAATAAATAAATAAATAACATCATTCTAGTATTATGTAATATGAATATATTAAAATAAAAATATATCAAATAAATGAATTCTAAAATAAAAGAAGTGAACAAATATTATAAAAAATAATTTATAGATATATTGAAAAAGTAGATGTAATAAAAAACTGTAATACCCATAAAAAATATTTTAAGTATTTTATAATTGAAGGAAGGTTTTAATAAAAGTTAGAATGATAAAAGACTTATCAATAAATAACCCAATTTTTAATAAGGTTAACTTATACTATTGTTTTGGTTGACAATTGATCCAAAGAAATAAAGGGTTATTTCTATTTTCTTTCTCGTATAGATTAGACAAGTCAAAAGATTTCAAGTGGAGGGTAGGAACAAAATCTAAAAAAAGAATGGTCTTTCAAAGGTGAGTAAATAATTTCCTTCAATTTTGGAGAAATAATATTGATTGTTAAGTCTTAAGGTTTAACTTGTAATCGAGAAACTCTAAAATTTTAGGAAATCTATTATCCCTCTTCAAGATTGGTTTAGAGAAATCATTTAGACTTTAATCAGGGTCTAATAAGGTGTTAAAAAAGTTTAATAATTTGATTTTATTGCTGTCAAAATAGGAAACAGAAATTTGATAGGGCTAGAAATTTTTTTTTGTTTTATATGAATCTTGGTGTTTATAATAGTAAATTAAGATAATATTCTATATTAAAGGATAAAATATTGCTATGATTATAATATACTGTTGGAAAGCTTGCTGAATTTAACTTTTAATGAAATAAATAGAAGTCAAATCCGATTTTTTTATGAAGAGTAGTTTAATTTTTACTTAAAGATATGTAGGCTACCTAGTAGTAGCAGTAGAGAGGAATTACAAAATTCCTCTTAATTGTTATACAAGAAATTATAGATTAAGCCATATATGTTCAAAAAGTTTATTGAGTCTATTTTTCAACAAAATAAGCAGAAGTGAATTTGGAGTTTCTTATGAATCAATGTATAATTTTTATTAAAAGGTATAGATGCTACTTGACAATAGTATATCACGTGGATTGCAAAAATTATTATAATTAATTTGCAAGGAATAACAAGATGGACCATATATGGTTAGAAAGGTTATCAAGTCTAGTTTCTAACATATTAAAAAGCTCTTAATTCTGAGTTGGATATCTTAAGATATGATAGTTTTAATAAAAGGAGTTTAGGCTGCTAATATTAGTTAGTTGAGCTAACTTTTGTATAACTTAATTTTTTTTTGTATAATTGATCTTTGATTAATTTTTGTTATGTTAAAATTATCTTGAATAGGCCATTAATTATTTTGGAGAAAAAACTAAGTGGTAAAATCGAAAGGAGGTAAGTAGAATCTCACGTACTTTGCTTATTTTCGAACCTATGTATATATATATGTTTTTAAATGAGTAAATGTCTTAATTCATTATTTTCGATATAAATAGGACCAAGCATATGATTATTTTTTATTTTTGCTATGTAAATGATGGATTATTCTTATGAATGAAATGAAAAAAATTATTTATGTTTAAGAAATGATTTTATAATAGCTACATATTTATATCATTGGGAAGTGGAATCATTGATACCAGAACTAGTTCTACGGCCCTTGCTAATGGGTTATAGTAATTAGTATAACCATGATCATAAAGCCTTGCTAATGAGTTATAGTAGTAGCATTAGGCCCTGATTAGTGGGTTATAATAGTTAGTAATGATCATGATGATAAAATTATCGATACGACTAATGTCACGGGTTATAGCAGTGACCATAACTAATGATGAACTAATGATTTATGATGATTTGTGATGATTTTAAAGATTGATCCATAATTTTATATGAAAATGATTTACGATGATTTTTAATGATTGATCCATGAATGGTAACATATTTTGCAATGATTTATGAATTAACATATTTTGACATTAATTTATGAATTTACAAAATATTTGACAGAACGATGATCTTTGAAATATTTTGACATTATGATTTAACGAATATTTTGAATGATTTATATGATATGTACAAAAATAAAGCTTGATCCGATAAGGTGTATGAACCTATACTTCTTGAGCTGTGGTTTGCTTATTCTCCTTTTATTTTTTCTTTACAGATGATTAAAATGATAAGTTTGCTTAGCTTTAAGAGAAGTTAAAGGATCAAATTGGAAAGATCACTTAGGCATTGGAGATATTATTTGCTAGTGAGATATTATAAAATAGTTTTGTATTTTTATTAATTTACATTTGGATATATAGAGATTTATCATAAATTGAATTAAATATATGAATTTTACTTGACAGATTATCATATTGAAAAATTTTAAAATGATTAAAAAAAAATTTTCATATTATTTTTAGATTTTATTTCAAGGTAATATAAATTTCAAGGTAATATAAACGTTTTGCGTTTTGATCTCAGAGCCGTGACAAAAACTATGAAAAGTATGAGTTAAGACATGAGTTAAACCACTCTCTTTAGCATGTTTAAGGCGATTGGTACTTCAATTTGATTGGTCACGCCGCCCCCAATATACATCCCAACGTTTTTCGTTGTAACTTTACAAACACTGCACTGTTGTAAAGCAAACTCTACTTCACCACGTTTTTTTGTCTACAAAATATAGAAAAACTTAACAAAAAAAAAAACTTAATTACCAGGATGCGAACGAATCATGTTAAGATGTAATAAAAGAGTTCAATTACAAAGGAGAATGATGACTGATTAATGAAGATGAACGAAGAAAGAATTCAATTACACAAGAGTAAAGTGTTTTTCTTTTCTTCATTTCATTTTTAACTCACTCAATGTTGCAAAAATTAAAGCAACTAATACATCTCTTTATTAACCAAAAAAATGACGAGAGAAAAAAAGAAACACTACCCTTCTCTACACAGCATGAAAAGCGTTAGGAACTAGGGCATGTTAGGCAAGACCTAGCAAAAGCAGCATAAAAGCAGATAATAAGATTACTGGACTGATCAACAGCTTTGCATGTGATGATGGTGAAATGGTAGGACTTAGACTTGCAACAGCAGTAACTTTTTCCTTTGAGCAAGTGTAATTGCATCGACTTGGAGGGACAACTCTATAAACTCCACTGCTGGTTAGCAAGTAGATATCTTTGCTATTGTCCTGCCCAAATGAGAAAGTGTAACCCAATGCTGCAAGAGCACTTTCTGGCACAGTGCTGCATTGTATAGGAGAGTCTCTTGCACAACCAAAAGGAATAGAGCTAGTCGAAAAGTTGCCACTATTTTCTGGATCTTCAGTTGCTGCCCATATTGCACCAGAATATAAATCTGCATATAAGTACCTGGAAAAGGCCATGAACGTTAACATGAATCAATCAGTGATAATGAAGAGTTTGGCTGGCTCGGCCACCTAAGAAAACAAACACAAAGAAGCTTAATGTTTCAAGAGTAACTGTGGCAGGAAAATATTGTTTTGTCACATTGTCATATGTGTGCAAACACCTAGTTCTTTTTCTTGGTGGTCAATGAATAAAGGTTGCTTACCTTCCATACATACAAGGATCGGTGTTGGACCGGTAAAAGTAGCCTCCCATAATTGAGGCTGATCCAATTTTCTTGTTTACTTCAGAGTGATTGTATCCCATAACTGGAAAAATGGGGCTTATGGAATTTACAGATGTATTCCCTCCAGGTGATGATTTAGGATTAAAAGGATATGGGCCCTCGTATGCACGCCATCCATAATTTCCGCCCTTGCTGATGATATCGACCTCTTCGTACAAATCCTGTAGGGTTATCAACTTACTACGATTAAAACTGGCAAAAATCTTCTGAATTTAGAATTTGATCATACATATTAGACATCCTTGATTTTAGTTATATCTCTTTGAAACACAGACATTGGTGATGCATGGTAGTCAAGTATACACATGTAATCCTAACAACTATAACGGATTAAAGTCAAAGGCATTGCTGGAACTTCAAAATGTTCTAACATCAAACAATTTGTAAGAAAATCCCACCAGATAGGATTGAATAACTATTTTCTTCTCATGTGATGTTTAAGACAAAAGGTTGGGAAATAAAAAATTTAAAAGGATTGCTAGATGTCTGCTTTATGGAGCATTGTCTTGGAAATTGAAAGCAATGAAAATGAAAACCCAGTGCAGGGTTTAGGCAGATGTCAAGGTAACCTGCAGAACTCTCATTCTTAAACTTGTATGAAAAGGAACAATGGGAGCAGAGAGGGCCTAGATTTTTTAGTCCAAATACTCTATTTTGGTTGAGTGATGACATCATATGAGTTGCCTGTCTATAGTTTTCAGAAGAAAAAAGTCAAACCTCGCCAACATCCCCACACATAAAATAGGAAGGCCTCTCCAAATCAAAACTGCAGCGCCAAGGATTTCTTAATCCAAAAGCCCAAATTTCAGGCAGCAACTCTTCGTCTTGGCTGAACGGATTGTCTTTGGGGATAGAGTAGTTTCCCCATAGACCAAGTTTATTAATTTCTGCTGCACCTGGAACCACATATTTAGCGTCATGAATGCAGATCACTGACTGAAAGAACTATATATTTGATTATCATGAATGCCATATAAATATAGTTTTTTTTTTTTTTTTTTAACTTTTCAATTGCCTTAATTATAAAAATAAATGGAGATTTAGGTTCCCACAAGACTTGTACATAGGCAGGAGTGTAAACTAGGAAAAACTTGATTATGGAGGATGCAGTAGGGAGTAGAAAATGCCAACTAGCGAGAACAATGTTTTAGAAACTAGTTGTATGTATAAACCACTCGAAGATGGTACTCACTTGGTATATTATCTACATCAAGCCTCATGATTTTCCCAAGCACTGATTTCTTGTTTTGAGCAAAATTGTATGGATCACCACCACCGCCACCATCCCCCGTCATAAAGTATAGATACCCATCTGTAGGTCCAAAAAGTATCTGTCCACCATGTTGAGAAGTAAAGGGAAGCCCCATAGTGAATATCCTTCTCACTTCTGATGGTTTAGCATTTTCTGCCTTAAAATGGAATAGTTCCATTAGAATCTTGAATCTAAGAAAATAAAGAAGTTTTAAGTGTATAAAGATGTGTACCAAGGAAGGCTGCGATGCGGTACCATTGGCAGTATATTCTGCAATAACACTTTGATACTGGCATGGCTGGGCACCATTGTCGGTACCTAGTTTTGAGGGATCACAGTTCACATCTGAGTTACATGAACATCTTCCTGCACAACCTGGCGATTTACCCTTGTCACAATTGAATGAGGCAAAGAATCGACCATTCTGTGCAAAGTTTGGATGAAATGCAATACCCATCATCCCAAATGCAGTATCAAAATGAACTTCATCAGTAAGATCTATGAAGGGGTTGGATTCATCAAGCTCCAATGTTCCTCCTGATCCCACTTTAGGAATAGTCGCCAACCAAATCTTACCTTGTTGATTGGAGAAGAATGCACGGTTTGATCCATCAGGATGAGCAACCATATCCAAGTAACTTCCATTCCCAATTTTCTCAAGGCATAAGCCATGCGGAGCACTAGGAGTTCCAGTCTCATTTAGTGTAACAGGTTCGCCATCATAGCAAACTGATCCATCAGTAGATGCTCCACCAAAGGCATTGCAGAAATCAGCTTTGGACTGCCAAAGTTCGGTCAATTTGGTGAAATTTGATTTGACAGGTGCTCCAGCTTGCCCTTGTAATGAAGGTGCAAAGGGGGAATTCAATATGGATACATTTTCACATGTATCCCATACTTTAGAGCAGAAATCATTTTTTTCTTGGTTAGACTGAGATGAATTTGTTGAAACAGTAGAGTTGCAGAGGAGAGGCACTGGTCGAGGCACAGAATCGATTGTGAATAACTTTGCTGAAAATGGATCACATCTCTGAAAATCATATTAAAAAAAATGTAAACTTGGTAAATTTGAAGAAGAATTTCATAATTAACCTTCTGATAAATATTCCAGCTGCCTGAATTATTACCCCAGTAAAAGGAATAGCTTTGTAAGTAATTAAAATAACTGTTGAAGCAACTGAATTCCTTAATGAAGTTATAAACACATGCAGTCTTTCCAGAATTCAACAGGAAAACACCACACCAACGTGAAAATTTCACTTCTGCTGTGCATGAAGGATCAAACAAATAATTGGAAAGGAGATTTCAAGTCTACACCTACAGTCACAGACTGGCAAATAATGCAAGTATTTTAAAACTCATTTTACAATTTTCCACCCGAGTACTTACTGTTATTTTAAGGGAAAAAAAATCATCACATATGCAGAATTTGCTTCATTTTTTATTCCTTGAATCAAGCATTAAACCATTGCAAGGTTTGAAATTTTACTCAAAACTAACAGGTTCTCTCTTTTTTCTTTTCAATAAATAATTGAAGAAAAGAATTCTTACTGCACAGAGGACTGATTGCAGAAGTGAGGCACAGCTGGGATTAGAGATTTTCATTGCTTGAAACTGCTTCTGCAATTGAGAATCTTTTGTGGAGTTGCAGCAGCTGCTTCCATTGTAGGAACAAAATTTCAGCCTGGTGTTCAAGGCAAGAGGTGCCCCTATACCACAGAAAGAAAAAAAGAAATCAGGCAGATAATTGAAGAAATAATCAAATAATCACTTCATGAAACTGAAACTTAGTTGTAGAGCTTACTGGAATCTGTGCACAAAGGAAAAGAAGAGGAGGGATAAGGAAGCAACAGCAAGTTGGAGAAGAGGAAGATAATAGCAAAAAGAACTTCTATCACACCAAATTGGTAAAGAATTGCAGCCATTGCTATGACACCTTTTATTTCATTTACAGCTCAGAGCATCTTCAGAGATATACTAGTATAAAGTAAATGGTTTTCATTTCTGGCTTTTGAACATTCTTCCCACTTCCATCTACACTTTCAGCATCCCCACCGCATTCTCTCTTTCTTTCTCTCTATCAAATATCTCTTCAATCTTTTATTCTATATCAATTGAACTCCTTTCTCAGCATCAGCCTTCTTTTTCCTTTTTTTAAACCGTCCTCCCAGAAGGAAGCTTTATTCCAACTTTCTCTCTTTCTTGAACACAAGTTTTTGACATTTTCTTTCCCAAGCAGGTACATGAGTTGAATATCATCAATTCATCCTCAGTAGCTTTGGATCGGAGATAGAGACATCAATTGCCCAGTATGCATTAGTTGACTTGTCTTCAACTTTTTTGTTATACATTAATAACAGTGGGTGAGACTTAAAAAGTAAGAAAATTGTATAAAAAAAAGACCCACTTGGTGTTTTTTGCCCGCAATACCAAGTTGAAAACGTTGGGATAGATCTTGGTTGGTTCAAAAAGTCCTGTGCCCACATTAATTGTACATTTCTAAGCTGATTTGTGTTTGCCCCCAACGCGACCAAAAGACAAAGCCACAAAAGAATGGTCATATTATTCAAACATGAATAATGCAACAACTTGCCAATGTCTTTCCTTCTTTATTATCATTCTCAAAATGGTTAAAAAAAGAAAGAGAAGTTAACGGTAGGGATGATATCAAATCTAGAAGAAACAGACAAAAATATGACAAGAGGGAGACAGTGTGACTTTTATATCTAAATATAGATAGAGAGAGATGCTTTAGATAAACAACAATAGTGTCCATGATCCACCATTCACATGTGCAATAATGGTGTGGCTAAAAAAAAATAGCATAATAAATGGATGGGGTCTTGGATTTGTTAAGTTTGCAAAAGTTGCGACTTTTGAATGTGGAGACAGGAAAAAATGCACCCAAAGCAGCTTCTTTTGGTTTGATGGTGGCAACGGACATGGCAACTCTTTTTGAGTTTGACCAAGGAAATATGTGAAAGAAAAAAACGGTGTTTGTTTCCAGTAATTATATTGAAATTTACTGCAAAGTGGGCATTCAAATTAAGCTTCCGTTTATTTCATTGAAAAAAGCTTTTTAAAAATAATTTTTATAAAATAAATTTATTTTTTAGTAAAGTTGATTCTTTTTATTGTTTGGATGATTTTTTGAAAAATATTTTTTGATATTTGGATTTTTTTTTCTAGAAAATCTACATTTTATTAAAGTAATATTCTTCATATAACTATTTAAATAATATTTTTACATTTATCCAACATAATAATAATATCATAAATATACAAATAGCAATTAATAAATTAAAAAACACAATACAATAAAATAATTATAATAGAATATTACAAACTTAGAATATAATAAAATAATTTATATATTGTTCTTGTACAAATGATGTCCTACAAAAGTTTTTAGATCAATAGTTAAATAGTTAATATTGTTCTTACACAATTAATAAACTTACCATAACCATAATTAGTTTACATAGGCATGTGGTTTCGATTTTACCAACCACATAAAAACAGTCAACCAACAGGTGAGGTTCCTTTTTTAACTCATCAAAACCTTTTAAAGTTAAAGTTTCCTAAAATTGTTACTTTCAACCATGAATGCTTTAGTTTGTTTCTCATGCTTCAATAGATAATCAAAGACAGCAGCAAGGGATTCCTCATCAAATCCCTACATCAACAGCACTTGCTCATAAAGGTATGCAATCCTAACTCAATCATCAGTGAAATTTTTTATGGTTTTAGCAATCTCACCAAGTTTTATCATATTGTTAAGTTTTTCATCTTTAATACTTTCTTGAAGACTTTTCCTTCTACGATGAGATTTTGATTGTGAATTCCAATTAATGAAGATGCTTTTGCTCTAAACTCTTTGTTAACTTCAGCTTCAAAATCTAATGCCTTGTTGGAAAGTGAGGGCTTCTTCAGTTAGATATATATGTATAATTCTCCTTTTATTTTGTGTGAAATATATATAAATATATATAATATAAAAATTATTTTGTTATAATTTGATATGTCAAATATGAAATATATTTTTTATTTTTATTAAACTCATACAATATTTAACTAAAATTTAAATTATGTTATTTTCATATATATTTTTTATATTGTTTTTGTTCATATTATTGTATTCTATTTAAAATTAATGAGTCTAATTTAAGTTACGTGTTTGAGTAAAATCCAAGTTTTTTTTTACATGAAAGGTATTAAAAAAAGTCCCTTTGTTATTTTCCTTTAAAAAGATTATTAGGTAATGGCCAAAAATAACCTAACCCTTAATTTAATCGATGAAACAGTTACCTAACTCGACCTTCCTTTTTTACTATAGCCCGCCTTTTCTCTAATATGATTTTAATGTTCAATTAATAATAATAAGAGTAACCCTTTTCCAACCATAATGGATCTACTAGGGGGTTTGCAACTTATGCTTAAATCAGGTATCATTAGCTTGGGTTAATCGCCTTTTTTTTTTTTTTAAATACTTTGCTCCTCAAGTGAACTTTTCATCCAAATTTGATTAATATATAAGTAGACATCCTACTTGGTTTAGGCTCAGATCCATTGGGCCTGGCTCAATAAAGTCAAATTATTAAGTCCAATTACTCATTATTTTATATTTTATTTATTATTTTTATCTTTTTATTGATTATTCATTTTTTTTTTGTTTATCTTTGATTTTTTGATTTGATTTATCTTTTGTTATGAAATTATGTGTTAAGATAATAGGATAATAGTAATGATAAAAAAAAAAAGAGTTGAAAAATAAAAAATAATTTTTGCCGTGAATGTAGAATTGTAGTTGGATTCAATCTGTATAAGATAAATATTATGTTTTGTGATAATACAAATATCCTATCAACGGTGGATTCATGGTCAATCAGAAACTCTTATGCCTATTCCCTATAAATATAGACTTGAATCAAGCATATAAAACATATAGAAAACACACAAATTAGAGAGAGAATATGCACAGAAAAGTAAAGAGGAAAACACCCATGAAAGGTAATTAGAAGTTTGTTGGAAGGTTTTTGGAATTAAAAAAGATTTTTTTTTGGAAATTTTTTGAAAAATTTCCAAAATCTAGTTGAATTTTTCTTCGACTTTTGAAAATTTCAACAAATTTTTGACAAGGTTCCCAGTTTTTGACATCAAATTTTCAGAAACTGATGAACTTTCGGCCAATTTTCAATGAATAAACCCAGATTCCGATAAGATTTTTTAGAATCCGATGAATATTCAATCGGAGTTTATCTGATTATAGAGAGAGAGAAAAAGAAAAAAGAGAAAGAGAAAGTAGAGAAAATATGAAGAAAAAAAAAAAGATTTTTGGCTTATTTATACCCTACTAAAATGATGTCGTTTTGGCCATAAGAACCTCTCAGGATCCGTGTGTTTTCTCATCGAATAACCTAACTCGAGTGCACCTATTCTGCTAACCCGCGTTTCAACCAATCCTTGCAACTGAGCAAGCTGCATCAAGCCTTTGAGCTGTTTCTTCAAGCCGCTATCTATGTCTCCAATTGAGCTGTTCCAGTTGCCAAGCTAAGTCGAGCCGATTTTTCGTATTCGTTTATTTATTTAGTTATTATATTTATTTTATAAGTTTTTTTGCATAATTAAATTTTAGGAAAAACTTAGAGAATTTGTTTTTTAGGTAAAATAAAAAATATAAAAGAAAAATAACAATATTTTTTAGAATAAATAATAATTATCCAATGATGAAATTTTTAGAAATTTTAAATGGTAAATTTATATAAAATTCCTATGTGAGAAATTTTCTATAAAATTGTCCCCAAAGGTGGAATAATTTAGATAAAGTTTCAATAACAATGATTAATATTTATTTTCAACTTTTTAAAAAATAAAAATAAAAAAACAAATTTTAATAAAAATCTTGGAATTAAATACTAATTACTAATGATGAGATTCTTAGAAATTTCAAACGAAAAATTCTTAAGAAATCTCTAGGTGAGAAATTTCTTTAAATATGTCTCAAATGATGGAATAATTTAGATATAATTTCAATAAAAGCAATTGTATTCTTTTTCAAATAAAAAATTTTTGGTTGAAAAATATTTGACAATTACCCAATGAGGAGATTCTTAAAAATTTTAAATGGTAAATTCTCTAAAAAATCTCTAGATGAGAAATTTCTTTAAATTTGTTCCTAATAGTGGAAGAATTTTAATGAAACTTCAAAAAAAATAATTGTCATGTTATTTTTTTTTCAAAAATGAAAAAAAAGAGTCTCTAAATAGACCCAAATGATGAAAAATTTAAAAATAAAAATAAATTTTGATGATGAAATTCTTAGTAATCGCAAATGGTTGATTATCAAAGAAATTTCTAGGTAAGAAGATATTTCTAATTTTGGCCCAAATGGTGGATGAATTAGATATATTTTCAATAAAAACCAAAATAAACCAGAATTAAATATTTTTTCAATGACGAAGCCTCTTTAAGAAAATAAATGAAATTCTCGAATACTCTTAAGGTGAGGAAGTATTTTTAAGAATTTTACCAAATTGATAGAGAATTTTAAAAATTATTTTCAATATTATTTTTAAGACCATTAGCATCAAGACCTTAGGATAATTTAAAATAAAGTGGTACCATTCTTGGGATAGGCGTTATAAGGGTGCTATAACCTTCTCCACATGTAATCGAACTCCCAAACCGTGTTCTAATTAGTAGACCAAAACCTATTCTTTTAGGACCCTTAGTCAAGCTTAGGAGCTCCTTAAAAGGATAGATTCATTAGGTAACCAATCACACCTAGTTAAAAAAGATTGGTGGTGACTGCTCTTGTTAAATATAGTTATAGATTTTCAAATCTATATGTTATAATAGTTTGGCGATTTTGCTGGGGATGCTATAGAGGTCAGGCCATAACATTTTAAATTTATCATAAACTTTGATCTAATGGTTTTAAATTGTAATTATTTGTTTACTAACATTTTCTTTTTTGTCTCTTATTTGATTTATAGGGGTTAAAAATCTTATGTTCCTTCACACACACTATCACATGCATTTGCAGTATATGAGCTCTATACTCAAGCTCCATCCCTCTTAGAAGGGAGTAAAGTACCTAAGCTTTTATGAGATGATAATCTCTATAATGGCTAATGAAATACTCACATTCAAATTGAATCATTTCTATTGGTAGCTTGTGATGGATAAGGATTGGAATGCTTATTAGTTTGTGATGGACAATGATGTAAAGAATAATTTGAGAACCTTTAGTGGTCAAAGTCACTTAACCTTGCATACAATCTACACTTAAAAGGCCAGTCTTAAGATAGAGCTATTTTTACCTGTTGATAGATGTACCATAAAATTAAGACACAAGAAGGAATAGTTTGTGATCAAACCATTTTGATTATTTGACTTTCTGCATTCGTATCATTTCAATATCATTTAATTCTATTTTCATGGTCATGTTTAACATTGTCATTTGCATCATTCTCATATAGAAAATATTTACCACATATCAGTTATTGATAAATCAAATCTCATACTTACATTTATGGAAAGCCAAATACAATCAAAGTCTACATCAAT